ATTTAGTCCTCGTCTGAGTCAGTCTTCCCCAGATCCGTCATTGTATTGTCTCGATGTTCGTGCCTGTCAGCCATCCCGTTCCTAATAAACCCCGTTTGTCCGTATTTACGGCTCCGATCGCCTGCTTTCCGGCTCGCCTGAGCCCCATCCTGACAGTAGGGACCACTTTCCATTAACTGCACCCTCATAATACCTTTATAATACATTCGTAGAACATTCAATGTACCTTCATAATGCATTCACAAACAATAACTAGCAGGGTGGAAGTATCCCTTAACAGCTTTAATATACATTAATAACAAACATTGTGATAATAACAAGCATGATAATTGTAGAATCATATAATGTTTTTTATTAATGTATATTAAAACTATTCAGGTATGTTAGGATGTTAAGGTATACTTACATGCTACTCATGGTCTACGGGTGTATTATAAATGCATTATTAAGGTGCAATGAATGTTCTATGAAGGCATTATTAAGGTATTTTAAAGGTGCCGTCAATGTAAAGTGTTACTGAATAGTATAAGAAGAGACCCGGAGGATAGAAGCTCTGTTTTTTAGTTTCTCAGTCTTGGCCTTCAGGCTATGGTGGCACCTCCCTGTGAAGAGGTGGTTCTTGGGCTGGCTAGGATCTTATTTTCATGACTTTGTCCTTTCACCACTTCCTATGTGGTGGCCTGTAGAATAGGAAATGCACAGCCGACGTGCAGGGAGGGCTATACCGTGTGGTGCAGAGCTGTGACACTTGGTGATGATACTCCCAGCCAGGCAGGCTCCAGCTACTAATGTGATGAGGAGGTAACAGAAATTGCATGGGGGCGTGGGGGGAGAGATGGGGCACAATACTGTGGTGAGCAGGTGTGACAAAACATTTCAAAACAATTTCAAAACAATCACATTAACAAATAAATTAAACATGGACGTGAACTATTTACATGCATTGTGGCAGCAAGGCAAGCGGGGAGATGTGTTATGTGACCACAAACACCAGAATAAATTTGAAACTAAACAGAAAAAAACTGTACAAAAAGCTGTTTTGCATTTCAGAAACAAGACTGATTGCACTAAATCCCAAAGACTGGAAATAAACCAACAGAAAACAAAACCTTTTCATACCACAAATTAATAGAGCTGTATTCTAGATGCTGAGATGAATCTCCTCATAAACCTTCCTTTCCATTCCCCATGAAATTTAGCTATAAGGTCACATTCAACAGCCAGATAAACGATTTTGAACAACATGCCCCTTTTCTGACGACTAAAAACATCTTCTAGTGTTAAAAAAGAAGTTTGTTGCCATGCTTGCTCTAAATGTTAGTGCTCTCTCTCTGCCCCCCCCCTGCCAAACACACACTAAATGTTACTGCTTCCTTTTAACAACTACTGCTTCATTGTTGCCTTCATTTTTGTTTCAGCAGCACTTCCTGTCAGTGGGATGCTCCAAACTGCAACTCCGGTAGAAATTAATAAATACTTTAAGGTCATTATGAAGTCATAAGCATCATCTAAACATATCATCTGAGACAGAAATCCTGTATACCCACACAAAGATACTTACCAATCACAATCTCTGTCAGCTGAAGGAAGCCCAACGATTTTTTTCCATTGACACCCCCCCCCAGTTGAGCTGTCTTGCTAGGTTGTTGGAAAGTATTTTCTTCAGAACCTGCCATGTACAGTCATGTACATCCGTCCCACAGTTAAGGCCCAAAATGTCGACCTGAAACAGATTTTAAAAGAAAACCAAACAGATTTGAATATATTCCTCTAGTGTGTGACAATGATAGCATTACTGCTATTAAGCATACACTTTGACTGCAATGCCAGTGAGCTAAGCTCTTTGCTTATGCAGTGTTATTGTTGCAGTCTTTGGTGATGGAGATCTGGCTTTGAGACCTGGTGGGGTGACTGACCTAGACCTTCACTGTAGACCGTGTCAGTGCTTCTCAATGTGACTCCTGCAGACACCCTGCCCCGCGTGTCTCGTCCTTTTCTCCTTACCACAGATAAATCATCTCTGTCCTACCATAGTCATTTTGCATGTTATGTTTTAAATGAATGTGTGAAGTTGAAAAATTAAGAAACAATCACATATAATCAATCACAAGCAAGCATAGAATTTTGCCTTTTTGATTATCACTTTCTAAGCCTATCCATGTTCACTAATGTGTGTATCATACCTGAAATGGTTTTCTTCAGCCTAAGGAAACAGATAAATGAGAAATCAACATCAAACGCACACAATTCTTCCACACCGAATTGCATTGTGCTTGGTGATGTGAGGCTTGCATGCAGCTGCTTGGCCATAGAAGCCCATTCCATGAAGCTCCCAGAGTTTTTGTGCTGGGGTTAATGTCTGAGGAAGATTGGAAGTTATCAAGTCAACAGGGCATTGACTTTTATTCACTATATGACTGTTATATATCTGTTACTTTACGTGGTGTGCCACTTTGGGGATGAGTTTCTGTTGTTTCTAAATGCTTCAACTTTGCCATATTGCCACTAACAGCTTACCGTGAAATACTGTATCTAGCAGGGAAGAGATCCAGAAACTGTCTTATTGCAAAGGTCGCATCCTATGAGAGTACAGTTCACTGAGCTCTTCAGATTGACCATTCTTTCACAAAGTCTATAAACCTGACTGCATGGCAAGATGCCTGATTTTATACGCTTGTGGCAATGATCTGAATGAAACACCTGAATTCCATTATTAAAAGGCATGTCCCAATGACGGGAAAGCATGGGCCCGTAGGATGTTGGGTTACATCTCCAGGTGTGTGGAGTTTAAGTCAAGGGAGGTAATGCTAAGATTAT